TCTTCGAAAAGTTTGGCGTTCTGGTCAAAACTGTGCTATTCGTTCAGTATCAAGGTCGAGAGATAGGCGTGTGCTTGGGAACACGCAAGCATACACGCACACGTCCAGATACATATGCAGTTTGCCACACATTCACATAAGAAATTGATTTACGAAAAAATAGGCAAGTGTATGATAATCTTTCTAAACAGGCTTATGTAATATGAATATCGATAAAATTTGTCAGTTTCATGTATAGAAGGCGTCTGGAGAGAGAGAGAGAGAGAGAGAGAGAGAGAGAGAGAGAGAGAGAGAGAGAGAGAGAGAGAGAGAGAGAGAGAGACAGAGAGACAGACAGACATACAGACAGACAGATAGACAGAGATACATAAACTGTAGCATACGTATTCATCAACTAAAGAGGAGACCTGGAAAAAAAATGTGATAAACCAATGACATTAGCCATTAACTGCGGTAACTTGAATGACGGCTTCCAGTCCTGAACCTAGTAAAGAAAAAGGAAAATGAACTAAGAAAAAAGTCGAAAAGATTTTTGCTTCTTAAGGTCATTTAGGCTCAAACAAGTTCAAGTATTAATAATCGTGTTTCATTAATTTATTTATATATTTATCTGTGAATGTATGTGTCTGTGTATGTGTGTGTGAGTGAATGTATGTGTCTGTGTATGTGTGTGTGTGTATGTGTGAGCGTGTGTGTGTGTGTGTGTGTGTGTGTGTGTGTGTGTGCGTGTGTGTATGAATGTGTATGTGTGTGTGTGTGAATGTATGTGTCTGTGTATGTGTGTGTGTATTTATGTGCGTGTGTGAATGTGTGGATAAGTGTATGTGTGTGTGTATTTATGTGCGTGTGTGAATGTGTGGATAAGTGTATGTGTGTGTGTGAATGTGTGGATAAGTGTATGTGTGTGTGTGTGAATGTGTGTATGTATGTGTGTGTGTGTGAATGTGTGGATAAGTGTATGTGTGTGTGTGTGAATGTGTGTATGTATGTGTGTGTGTATTTATGTGCGTGTGTGAATGTGAGTATGTATGTGTGTGTGTGAATGTGTGGATAAGTGTATGTGTGTGTGTATTTATGTGCGTGTGTGAATGTGTGTATGTATGTGTGTGTGTGTGAATGTGTGTATGTATGTGTGTGTGTGAATGTGTGGATAAGTGTATGTGTGTGTGAGTGAATGTATGTGTCTGTGTATGTGTGTGTGAGTGAATGTATGTGTCTGTGTATGTGTGTGTGAGTGAATGTATGTGTCTGTGTATGTGTGTGTGAGTGAATGTATGTGTCTGTGTATGTGTGTGTGAGTGAATGTATGTGTCTGTGTATGTGTGTGTGAGTGGAATGTATGTGTCTGTGTATGTGTGTGTGTGGATGTGTGCGCGGTTGTGTGTGATTGGTGTGTGTGTGTGTGTGTCTGTGTATGTGTGTGTGTATTTATGTGCGTGTGTGAATGTGTGGATAAGTGTATGTGTGTGTGTGAATGTGTGGATAAGTGTATGTGTGTGTGTATTTATGTGCGTGTGTGAATGTGTGTATGTATGTGTGTGTGTATTTATGTGCGTGTGTGAATGTGTGGATAAGTGTATGTGTGTGTGAGTGAATGTATGTGTCTGTGTATGTGTGTGTGTATTTATGTGCGTGTGTGAATGTGTGGATAAGTGTATGTGTGTGTGTATTTATGTGCGTGTGTGAATGTGTGTATGTATGTGTGTGTGTATTTATGTGCGTGTGTGAATGTGTGGATAAGTGTATGTGTGTGTGTATTTATGTGCGTGTGTGAATGTGTGTATGTATGTGTGTGTGTATTTATGTGCGTGTGTGAATGTGTGGATAAGTGTATGTGTGTGTGTATTTATGTGCGTGTGTGAATGTGTGGATAAGTGTATGTGTGTGTGAGTGAATGTATGTGTCTGTGTATGTGTGTGTGAGTGAATGTATGTGTCTGTGTATGTGTGTGTGAGTGAATGTATGTGTCTGTGTATGTGTGTGTGTATTTATGTGCGTGTGTGAATGTGTGGATAAGTGTATGTGTGTGTGTATTTATGTGCGTGTGTGAATGTGTGGATAAGTGTATGTGTGTGTGTATTTATGTGCGTGTGTGAATGTGTGTATGTATGTGTGTGTGTATTTATGTGCGTGTGTGAATGTGTGGATAAGTGTATGTGTGTGTGAGTGAATGTATGTGTCTGTGTATGTGTGTGTGAGTGAATGTATGTGTCTGTGTATGTGTGTGTGTATTTATGTGCGTGTGTGAATGTGTGGATAAGTGTATGTGTGTGTGTATTTATGTGCGTGTGTGAATGTGTGTATGTATGTGTGTGTGTGAATGTGTGTATGTATGTGTGTGTGTGTGTGTGTGCGTGTGTGTATGAATGTGTATGTGTGTGTGAGTGAATGTATGTGTCTGTGTATGTGTGTGTGTGAATGTGTGTATGTATGTGTGTGTGTGAATGTGTGGATAAGTGTATGTGTGTGTGTATGTATGTGTGTGTGTGTGAATGTGTGTATGTATGTGTGTGTGTGTGTTTTCCATAGATTTGCTATATTTGTCTTATACTCTCAAAAGTTTATATACTTTCATGCTTTCCCTTATACATTTTGTGCAAGTAATATCTTTAGGTCTCAAACTCAAATTTTAGGTTTCTCTCTCTCCTTTTATACATTAAAGTGATATATGCTGTGTAATGCTTTAAACAATTTATTTTTGTTTCATATTTATTTAGGCGTATTCCTTGATTTTTTTTTTTTTTTTTTTTTTTTTGTTATTTTGTTATTTATGCTGCCGTTTGTATAATTTTTATATGATGATATTATAGAATTGCTATTATCACCATTTCTACTACAGTCATAAGCTCTCTCTCTCTATCCCTCCCTACTTCCTCATTCCCTCTTTCTCTCTCTCCCTCTCTCTCTCTTTGTCTCGTTTTCTCTCTCCCTACCTTCCTCCCTCCCTCTCTTTCTATCTCTCCCTACCTTCCTCCTTTTCTCTTTGTCTCGTTTTCTCTCTCCCTACTTTCCTCCTTATCTCTCTCAATCTCTCCCCTCCTTCCTCCTTCCCTCTTTCTCTCTCTTTGTCTCGTTTTCTCTCTCCCTACCTTCCTCCCTCTCTCTCTTTCTGTCTCTCCCTACCTTCCTCCTTCCCTCTTTCTGTCTGTCTCTCTCTGTCTCGTTTTCTCTCTCCCTACCTTCCTCCTTCCCTCTTCCTCTCTCTTTGTCTCGTTTTCTCTCGTTTTCTCTCCTCCTACCTTCCTCCCTCCCTCTCTTTCTATCACTACCTACTTCCTCCTTCCCTCTTTCTCTCTCTTTGTCTCGTTTTCTCTCGTTTTCTCTCTCCCTACCTTACTCCCTCCGTCTCTCTCAGGTTCTCTCTTTCCTCCCTTCCCCCTCTCTCCCTCTTCCTTTCTCTCTCTCTCTCTCTCTATCGTTCTCTCTCTCTCTCTCTCTCTCTCACTCACTGTTGTATAACTTCAGGACATGAATCATAAAGAAACAATACCATAATGTCATTTCGGATTTATCAGACGGTTTTAGAAAACAGCAAATCTGATACAACAAACACATTCGACAGATGGCGGAGTGAAGGGAAATGAAGAGTATTTTTTGTTTGTTTGTTTTTTGTTTTTTTACAACGGGCATTTGGTTTCTTCGGTCAAAGATCCATCCGTTTGTGAGAAGATCGAGAGATGTTTTTGCTGGCGACGTTCTGCCATCATGCAATTCGGTCTGTTGGAGAAGAAAAAAATATGAGTTTCAAGTAGCACTGTAAGATGGAGATAATGACAAACATATAAAAAAAACGGAATGCAAAGATTGGAAAATCAAAGAAGCGAGAAAAAGTGAATTCACACATACATGTGCGTGCATACACAGACACGCACACAAACACACGCAAACAAACATATGTACACACACAAACACACATAAGCTCAGACTAAAGCACACGTAGATATACACACCACATAAACTCACACTCAAGACCACATACACACATATACACATAAAAACGCACAGGGACAAACATTTAAAAAAACACACAGCAACAAACACATATGTACACATACAAACATACACACACAAACACGCACACACACACACAAACTCACACTCACACACGCACACGAACACACATCGACACAAACACACACATCGACACAAACGCACACACATAAACACACATAAATGTACACACTAACACGCACATAAACTCACACTCATAAACACACATGACCACACACACACACACACACACACAAACACGCACACAAACAGACACCGACGAAAACACACACAAATGTACGCACACAAACACGCAAAAGGAACAAATACTCTCACGCACGCAAACACATATGCACACGCACACAAACAGAGACACCTCGACGCACGCAACACATATCCATAGTATTCATCAGGATATTCCAGAAATTTACACCTGCTTTGAGTGTTACCTTCTAACCGTAGTGATGATAGACAGGGATACCGTAGTGTCCGTATCCGTGCCCGAATCCGTAACCGAGTCCGCCGTATCCGTAACCATAACCAGGGAAGTGAGCCTTGGCACCGGCATCGGGCAGTGGATTAGCCAGTGTCACGGCTGAGAGGGCCAGAGCCACCAGGAGGAGGAAGAGCAAGCTGCGGTTCACCTGGTGGGAAAGGGAGTTTGGAATGCGTTTCCGAATGCAGGAGGGAAAAAAAATCAACATCTGAGCAAATCTAAAAATTAGAATATTCGAAGATACACGTTACTTATAACTAAATGATTATAATAATAAATAAATAAATAAATAAATAATAAATAATAACAACAACAACAATAATAATAATAAAATAAATACATAAATCCTAAAACAGAATCGCCGATTGCTGTAATACTCAACCATTGTTCTGACGAGGGACAAGGAGATTCAAGCAGTAGCAAGCGTCTAACTCCCGAGGTTCATCTCGACGCCTTATATACACATACATACATAAGGCGCTGCTTGGCAACTCGCGGGATTCCCACAAGGAAGATCGAAACCTCTTGGAAGCTGCTCTCGACCCTCTTCCGACTCGGTCTGATCCCATTTATTCGTACTCGTTGCCCTTTTTTTTTTTTTTTTTTTGAGCATTGTAGCTTGTTCTTGTAACTTTCTTTGTTTGTTTACTGTTATTATTAATCTTATATTGTTATTGTTATTATTGTTATATTATCATTATTGTTGTTGCTACTATCGTTATTATTATTGTTATTATTATTATTTTTTTTATTATTATTATTATTATTATTATTATTATTATTATTATTATTATTATTATTATTATTATTATTATTATCATTATCAATATCATTGCTATTATTATTATACTTATCATCATCGCCATCATCATTATCATTATTATCATTACTGTTATTACACTTATTGTTCTCATTCTCATTCTCATTATCATTATCAATATTACTTTTAATAGTAGTAGTGGTGGTACTTTTTTACTTATCCATCCATTTATTAATTGTCATCATTATCAAAATTTTCATTATCACGCGTGTGTATGCATGCATGGGTGCGTGCGTGCGTGCGTGTGTATGTGTGTCTGCGTGATCATCACGTCCCCTCGAATAGGCAACTCTCATTCATATGCAAACCAGGGCCCAGCTCAGTTTAGTCCATGGAAATCTAGTTAACTCGAGTTATTTTCAATCGCCTTTCATTTAGAACAGACTAAGTCAAACACACGCTAGATTTCCCGGAATATGAACGTGTACTCTCTTGCTCATTGAATTCTGTCCAGGAATTCGGACACGTTGGTTCAGAACGTGGTTTCAGGAGCGGGAAATCAGGTATCCGAACACATCAGATTTGGGGGAAGATTTCAGATATTTATTATTCCTTCATTTAGTATACAGCCAGTGAGAGTTTTTAAACCTTTTTCGGGATAACTGACAGAAAACTTCTAAGCTATTGATGGATTTGAACGTCCGGGCCAAAAAGATTCGGCGAATTGGCTGTCATCATTTTTTTTTTCCAGGAATGCACATGCACACACACACACACACACACGCACTCACGCACGCACACGCACACACACACGCGCACACACACACATACACACACACACACGCACTCACGCACGCACACGCACACACACACACACACACCACACACACACACACACACGCGCACACACACACACACACACACACACACACACACACACACACACACGCACACACACACACACGCACGCACACACGCACATGCACACACACACACACACAACACACACACACACACACACCACACACACACACACACGCACACACACACACAACACACACACACACACAACACACACACACACAAACCACACACACACGCACTCACGCACGCACACGCACACACACACGCGCACACACACACATACACACACACACACGCACTCACGCACACACACACACACAACACACACACACACACACACACACACAACACACACACACATCACACATGCACACACACACGCACTCACGCACACACACGCACACACACACACACAAACCACACACACACGCACACACACACACACACACATACATACACACACACACGCACTCACGCACGCACACGCACACACACACGCGCACACACACACATACACACACACACACGCACGCACACACGCACATGCACACACACACGCGCACACACACACACACACACACACACACACACGCACGCACCCACGCACATGCACACACACACGCTGTTGTTGTTGTTGCAATTTTCAGCGCCGCAGATAATTCCCTCGGCCGCCAGTTTCCTAGTGCTTGTAGAAATATTCCTTTTTCTTTGGTGGAGACATATGGTGTAGAACAGTGATGGGCAAGGCATATGATGACGACAGCAATGGCGACAGTAACAGCACGGATGGTGATTAAAGCAGGTACTCACGTGAAGGTAACAGGAATGTGACGTCACGGGGAATTTTTTTTCTTCTTCTTCTTCTTCTGCGCGCTCTCGGAGGCGACATGAAAGACATTCAATGAATTTCAGTTATGCACGGCGTCCATTTACAATTCCGAATAAAGAATTAAGTTGATTTTTTATTTTCTCTCATTTATTATACACGTAATAATCAACAGAACCATTTGCTACATAAAAGACCATGCTTTATTAGCAACGGACGCCTTTATTGGTAGGGTTGGTATTAGTAATCTATGCTATATGTGTGATGATTATCTTTTTCTCTAACATATTAGTCTTTTTCCCTCTGCCTATATATATATACATATACATACATATATATATATATATATATATATATATATATATATATACATATATATATATATATATATATATTACTTTTTTTTTCTTTTTTTATCACCGATGCAGTGTTTGACGAACTACTTGGCGCCATGTTGACATTATGTAGTTGACTGGGTCTTTATACTGGCCAACAAGTGCTCCTTCTTAGTCATTGTTTAGGTAAGCATTGTTGGTAGCTCTCAAGTCACCATCATATTTACGATAGACTCACCTACTACCGGATCTAGGTTTGTTTTACTTAAAATTATCAAAATCCGCGAGGAAGTGGCTGATACAGAGAGGGTAATAATGAAGAGCACAGCTAAACTGAAGTATATATATATATAGAGAGAGAGAGAGAGAGAGACAGACAGACAGACAGACAGATATATGGCTGTAAAAAATATATATAAATAAATTCTTCTCATATTCGTATATTCATCTCATATTCACACATCACGTTAAATTATATTCGTTCAGATCTTGAGTTCACAGCATTATCTTTCCCTCCAGAGCACCTCTTTCCTCTGATTACTTCCTCGCTGCGTCCAAAATCCCAAGTATCTCTTTAGCACAGGCTATATTACCTCGCGATAGATAGACACATTTGTCATCCGTTGATATTTTTGCTTCGATGCCATATTTAAGGGCGGTTGTCTTTATTATTACACCAGTAATCCCATCTAAAACTGAAAGATCACTGTCATTAACTGGTAATAAAATCGTAGCATAAAAGGAACTGTTACATCTGGTTGAGGCTTTAAACACATCCTTGTAGAACGAATAAATCTCATCCGGTTAGCCTATCACCCAGAGCGAATCCTCATCAACAACAAATTAAACGACTCGGTATTACTAGGTACTTTATCGTCTGTAATACTAGCGCAAGGCTGTTAGTTTTTCCTATCCAATCGGCTTTGTTATACTTATGATACAACCTGCTTACAACTTATTGATCATTTTCGCATATTTGAGATACTCTCTACAACAACGGGATAAACCCTACACCTGGTAACGTTGTTTATCATCTAAATACACAAGCTTGATTTTCATGTTGTCAGCTAGTAATTTACAGTACTAGTAAAAATACGGTTTTATCACAGTAACAAACTCGTAACCTTATTTTGAAACTTTAGCAATGTCTTATTTCAAAAAGGAAATGAGAGCATCAATGCTCTATCTTTTTCCGGTTACATTTAGCTTTCCCCTGCATTTGTTCTAGATTTTGACTTTAAATTACTTGCTTAAAGTACAAATATTATTATTACTAACGTCTAGAACGCACACCCCATAATCAACGTCAAGACGAACAGTAACCGTAGCATATTACTGACCAGTTTCTTGTATAATTCTATTCACCTCTTAGATGAAACTTTATACCTTCTCTTGTTCGCCCAATACCTCGATGTAGCCCGCAAAGACACTCAAGTTTGCTGTGACATCATGTGCAGCGCTCAATGATAGCACCAAGCGTTGGTTCTCATCAAGAAAGAGGTCCTGGAATGCCTCTGACACAGGTACCCTAACAAAACTACTTTCTGCCAGACGCTTAGATAAAGTTTATTTTTAAACTTTAGCAATTTCTTATTGTAAAAAGGAAATGAGAGCACCGATGCACTATCTTTTTCCGGTTACACGTAGCCTTTCCTTGGACATCTTGTAGATTTAGACTTTAAAATATTTGCTTAAAGTGCATATATTATAATTACTAAAGACTACAGTGCACACATCATAATCCACGCCAAGACGAAAAGTAACCGTAGCATATTACTGACCAGCTTCTTGTATAATTCTATTCACCTCTTAGATGAAACTTTATACCTTCTCTTGTTCCCCCAATACCTCGATGTAGCCAGCAAACACATTCAAGTTTGCTGTGACACCATGTGCAGCGCTCAATGATAGCACCAAGCGTTGGTTCTCATTAAGAAAGAGGTCCTGGAATGCCTCTGACACAGGTACCCTATTAAAACGACGCTCAGATAATGTTCCATCTTCAGTTTCAGAACAAACGTTGCCAGCCGCCTCCTACCCATTATCAATCGAAGAATCAGATGCTGTTCCATTTTCAGTTTCAGAACGGACTTCGCCAGACGCCTCCTGCCCATTATCAGTCGAAGAATCAGATGCTGTTCCATTTTCAGTTTCGGAACGGACTTCACCAGACGCCTCCTATCCACTTTCAGTTGGAGAATCAGATGCTTTTCCATCTACAGTTTCAGAACGGACTTCGCCAGACGCCTCCTATCCACTTTCAGTTGGAGAATCAGATGCTTTTCCATCTACAGTTTCAGAACGGACTTCGCCAGACGCCTCCTATCCACTTTCAGTTGGAGAATCAGATGCTGTTCCATCTTCAGTTTCAGAACGGACTGCAATTTCTTCTTCTCTAATACCTGATATCAATCCTACACTTTCACAACCCGTGACTTTGTGTATGACTTTGGTGTCCCGGCGCCTTTTTATCATGAAGTACGATGCAATTGATAAAGAGAGAGTAATAATGAAAAACACAGCTAAACTGAGGCTTCTGTTTATCATTGCAGTTTTCGAGCTGGTCTTTACCAACAGCTAGAGCCGTTCAATGTTTTACTTATTACAGAAGTACCTCTTCCTCATGTTCAATCTGAGAATGTCCCATTTATGTTCTAGCATGGGGCACGAGTTCAATTCTGGCCTCGCCGATTGGAATATACCCAACCACGTTTTTCTTAGCCGGAGAA